GGGGGAATGGCCACGCTACAATCTCTTCTCCATTCTCCTCTCAGGATCTTGGGCATGCGCACATGCACATGGTATGATTTTTTTTTTCTTAGTTTTTAAGAGAGTTTTGCTATAGGGCACATGCGCTCGTGGCGTCAGTTTTGAGCCACTGGGTCCAGGACTCGAAGCACAGTTGACTACTTGGGAGTCCAGTGACGTAACCATTACACCATCTGTTGGTCCCAGGATCCAGCCACTTTTACCACCAAGCCACCTGACTGGCCTAGAGTTGTATTTTTCTGTTCTTTTTTTTTTTTTTTCCTTTTTTCAGTTTTTGCTAGAAGACTTCAGAAAGAAAGTGAGAAAAGTCACCCCAAGGGTGGATGGCCATGCTGCAGTCCCTTCTTGTCCTGTCTCCTCTTGGGATTTTGGGCACATACACACATGCGCCTGCATGATTTTTCAAGTCTCCAGGACCTGGACTCAAACTGCGCAGCTGGTCATGAGAGATTCAGTGATTTAACTTCTATGCCACCTGCTGGCTGTAGAGTTGCTACTTATTTTTTTTTTTAACAATTATTTTTTATTTAATTTTATTCATTGTCATTATTTTATTTTTTTGAAGTTGACCAGAGAGAGACAGAGAGAAGGAAATTGAGAAAGTGAGCTGCTAGGTCCAGAACTCGAACTGTAGTCAACCTTGTGGGAGTCTAGCCGCCTTAACCACCATGCCACCTGCCAGCCTGTAGAGTTGTACTTTCGAAAAATAATTTTAGAGGTCAGCAGGTGGAATGGTGGTTGAGGTGCTGGACTCCCACATGGCTGACAGCAGTTTGAATTTCCTGACCTGGCAGCTTGCTATCTTACTTTCCCTTTCTCTTGTCAAATTTTTAAACATAAAATAAAATAATAACAAATAAAAAATATACTTTATATTTGAAAACATTATTAACTTAAAATGTTATTACTTTCTAAAACTTTTATTTTGAATTTCCTATATTACATTAAAGATAATCTAGAAAGCTCTGTTTAATCCTTAGCATTCACGTTATATAACACCAACTGTACCATACTAATTATGAGCTATGTAACTATTTAAAGAATTTATTGGGCCAGCCCAGTGGCCTGGTGGTTAAAGGAGCCAGATCCTGGGACCAGCAAATGGCGTAATGGTTACATTGCTGGGCTCAAACATAGTTGACCATGGTTTGAGTCCCAGACCCAGCACCTTGAAACTCACGCCAGGTGCATGTGCATGCATTTCTAAGACCCTGAGAGGAGAATTGAGAAGGGATTGCAGCATGGCCATCCCTCTGGGATGGGGGTGCTTTCTCTCTATCTTTCTCTGGCAAGCACATGCACCCTATAGCAAATATCTTTCTAAAAAAAAAATAAAAAACAAGGGGCCAGCAGGTGGCGCGGTGGTTAAAAGCACTGGATTCCCACATGGCTAAATACGGTTTGAGTCCCTTGTTGGCAGCTTGCGTTCTCACTTTCACTTTCTCTCTTTCTCTGTCTCTGGGCAAATTAAAAAATAATAGCAATAAATAGAATTGAATAAATACATAATTCTTTAAAAAACAATTAAAAGAAAGAAAGAAAAAAAAGAAGCCTGGTCCCATATGGCTAACTCCACTGCTCAAGTTTCCACCCTAGTGGCTTGAAGAACACGCTAAGCACGTTTGCGTGCACACGCTCCCAATCCCAGCAGGATGCGGAAATGGAGGAGAAGGCACTGAAGTGTGACTGCAGTCCATTGTGGAGGTGTTTTCTCCCTCTCTCTTTTGTCACTTTTGAGCTTATGCTCCCTCTGGCAAACTAAAATCTAAGCGAACAAAACTTAAAGATATACCAAAATATTAACAGTAGTTATTCTAGTGCAGTGGGAAATATGAATATTGTCTTCTACTTTTTTTGTTTTTAAATCTGTAAGTCTTACTTTGATAATGGAAAGGATATGTATGATTCATTTTAATTCTTAAAAGGACACTACTGTTTTTTTTATATACAGAGTTACTGAAGCTCAGAAACCAGCTGGCATACTCTTTGTTTCACCGTATTTGCAAATCTGCTTCTGGAAAGCAGAGGCAACTTGCTTTTCTGCCACAAATAATTGAGGAAGAGAAAACCTGTAAATATTGTTCACAAATGGGCAACTGTGCTCTTTATAGCAGGTAAACACACTGTCTTTCAAAGCATTATTTCAAGTACCATCCATCAGTTTATATTTTCTAATAAGCCTATTCCTTGGAAAATTAATAGAGTACTTGAAAAACTTTTTCTAAAAGTAGATATTTTAATCTTGTTGCACATATCTTTTAAGAAATGAAATAATTTTAGGCCTTGTGGAATCTGGTCAAGAAAGAAATAGTTATACATTTTGAATACAAGTTTTTTCTCTAAGTTTTTTTTTTTTTTCCATGAGAGGGAATGAGAAATATAGATCCCCTCGACAGAGTCTCTCCACCTCGCAGTCCTCCCCTCAGCCTTTTAGGCAGCCAAGTCATGGGCACACATCTGGAATATTCTGATTGAGCCAGAATCTCAACAGATCTCCACATGGTTCCAGTATCACACATCAGCAGAATGCTTGCTCCACTTCAGCTGGACCACAGTACAAATCTTTAATGTATTTTAAGGAGTTTTTCTTGGGACTGGCAGGTGGCATGGTATTTGAAGCACTGGACTTCCACATGGCTGACTACACTTTCTTCTCTCTTGCTGGTCAAATTTAAAAAAATAAATAAATAAAATAAATAATTCTTTTTTTAAAAGTTTTTTTGTTAATTTTATTAATTATTATTATTATTGTTTAAAATCTGGTCGGAGAGAGACAGAGCAAGAGAGAGGGAAAGTGAGAAAGCAAGCCGCCAGGTCCAGGATTCAAACTACAGTCGGCTATGTGGAAGTCCAGTGCTTCAGCCACTACACTACCTGCCAGCCCCACAGAGAAAGTACTTTTTTATTTCAAAGAATTATTTAACTTTATGTATGCATGTATTTTCATTTGACCAGAGAGGGACAGAGTGAGAGAGTGAGAGTAAGAGTGAGAGTGAGAGTGAGAGAGGGAGAGAGAGAGAGAGAGAGAGAGAGAAAATGAGAAAGCAAACTGCCAGGTCCAGGACTTGAACTACAGTTGGCCATGTGGGAATCCAGCACTCTAAACCACCATGCCACCTACCACCCCCGTGAAGTACTTTTAAAAGTATTGTCTTAAGGGATTCCTTAATGGCAAGGGACTGTGAACCAAGAGAAATCTGGGCTACAAGTACAAATCTATACTACAAGTACATTTCTTTGAAATCTTATGTTTTTTTTATTGCTAAAGGGCGTGTGTGCTCACCAAAGAGAGAGAAAGCACTCCCCAGTGGGGCATGGTCATACTGCATTCCTCCTCCTGTATTCCTCCTTCCTACCAGGATTTACGCACATGGACACATGCCTGGCACGTTTCTCTAGCCCCCAGGGCTGCGTGTAGAACTGCAGTTGTCTATGTGAGATCCAGCTCCTTTAATCATTGCACTACAGGGCTGGCCCACGAACTCTTATGTTTATTCTCAGCGTTTTATTGCTATCTTATAACATGTTTGTTTCGGGGACCAGCAGGTGGTGTAATGGTTAAAGTACTGGATACTCCCACATGGCTGACCACAGTTCAAGTCCTGGACCTGGTTTCTTGCTGTCTCGCTTTCTCTGTGTCTGTGTCTCTCTTTGGTCAAATTAAAATAAATGAATGAATAAATAACTAAAATTAAATAAATAATTCTTTTAAAAAATAACATGTTTGTTTCTATATTAGAATGTTTTTAATTAGCATTAAGCCAAAGTGATACTTCAAATGAGACTCCATGTTTTTATGTTGACTTCCTTATATTACAGGGTAAACAAATATTGTGATTTTTGAGAAATGCAGTTTTATACAAAGCCAAAACATGCCGTGTATAATAATAAAGTCTGAGTATACCAAATTAAATTGTTGTTTGGGGTCTAGTCATTGAAGGTAAAATAATGCAGTATTGAGTTTATTATGCATTTTATTTTGTAAAAAGCCATATGGCTTATAAAATATTGAAGTGATTTTTAACAAATCTAGGAACTGAAGTTATGCGTTATGATGATCATCCTGTTTGTGCACTTACTTTAGATATTCCTCATTTCATAGCCAGCCAATGCAATGTTTTATACACATCTAATTCGGGGCTTTGTATTTAGAGCAGTTGAACAACAGATGGATGACACTTCAGTCCCAGATGTCATGTTGCCCAAAATGAAAGAAGAAACTCAGCATCTGAAGCTTACACACTTGGAGTATTTCAGTCTTTGGTGTCTCATGTTAACCCTGGAGTCTCAATCAAAGGGTAACAGAAGGAATTACCAAAATATCTGGTTAATGCCTGCTTCAGAAATGTAAGTCATTTGATACAGTAAAATTATAGTAATCTGGATTAGCTAGTGTGATAGGATTTGAAATTTGAGACAAATATAGGTTACATAGTATGTGAAGAAATGTGATTTCATTTATTCCTGCCAATGCCAGGTGACTGTCAATAAATTGTTTCTGAGTAGAGCACCATATCTGTGTATGCTGTTGGGTATTCTTTGCATAGGAAAATATGTCATGACTTTCCCAACAACCTAATAAATGCTATAATTGTGAGTTACTTTTTAATAGGTTACATACATTTTAAGAAATATTATTTTTAAAGTTATTTTTTAAATAATTATTTTAGTTATTTTGGGTACGCACACATATGTGCCCAGTGTGAGTTTCAAGATGCCAAGTCTGGGACTAGGACCATGGTTGGCCATGTGGGAATCCAGCGACATAATCATCTTGCTATATACTGGTCCCCTGGATTATTATTTTCTTAATATTACATTTTAGGAACCAGCAGTTGGCATAATGGCTATGTTGCTGGATTCCCATGTAGTCAACTGTGGTTTGAGTCCTGGACCTTGTGGCTTAAATTCACACCGGGCACGTGTGCATGTGTGCCTAAGATCCTGAGAGGAGAATGGAGGAGAAGGGATTGAGGTGTGGCCATCCCCCCTGGGGGTGATTTCTCACTTTCTGTCTCTCTGGCAAGCATGCACGCCCTATAACAAAAACCTCTTAAAAAAATATTACATTTTAATACAAGAAAACATTACAGTGGAAAAAGTTCTCATAAATGTAGGTAGACTGCATGATTATAGTGGCTATGTGAAGCATACATTCTCCTCAAGCCTCAGAGGTTGTATGGTATTTAATAGCCTGAGAGATTTTAAATGTTTTTTGCTTATTTCTTAAAGCAGTGTGATAATCAATTTGCTTGCCATTATTTTAATAACCATAATTGCAAATCCTTTTGTAAGTACTGAAAAAATCAGCTATTTCCTTCCTTCGAGTTTAGTAGCAGGTTATCATGATCTGTCTTCTGTAATCCTATGTGTATCAGCACAAGAGATGCGGGTATCAGATGCCAGGATCAATGTGCTGATAAGCAGCTCGTTCAGAGATCCTGGCCTGTGGGTGCAAGAAGGGAAAAGCTCCCCCCATCACTTGTCTGTAAATCTGTTATTGAAAGATTATTTAAAAACTAATGGAATGGTCACTAAGCATTTCTAACACTTGTGTAGATTGTGGAAAATGTAAAAAAAGACAGACTCCATATTAGCAGTAGAGTTTTTAGGGCTCAGAAGAACAAAGGAACTGGAAAAATGCAAATACCACACTTGAATGTGTGATGCGAATGGACACTTTTCTGACTCTCTTTCTCTTTCGTAGGGAGGACAGTGGCAACTGTATTGGAAACCTGATTAGGACAGGACATGTTACGACAGTGTGCGATGGACAGTACCTGCATCATTTCCAACGTAAAAACGGTACCATATCTATCACAAACCTAATGGCAGGTGACAGAATTATTTTAAGTGGAGAAGAGAGGACACTTTTTGCTTTGTCCAGGGGTTATGTCAAGGAGGTAACCATGACGACGGTAGCCTGTTTATTAGACAGGTAATAAAACATTACCTTTTTTTGGTAACAGCTTTATCAATATATAATCCTTGTGACATACAATTCATCCATTTACAGTGCACAGATCAATGGTTGTTATATATATTCATAGTTGTGGAGTCATCACCACGGTCAATTTAGAATGTTTTTCTCATCCCAGAAAGAAACCTTGTCTCTTTAGCAACCGCTGCCCGTTTCTCCCCAACTCCCCCAGCCCTAGCAAACACTAACCTACTTTCTGTCTTCATAGATTGGTCTATTATCATCTTTTCGGGTAAATGGAATTGTGTAAGATGTGGTCTTTGGTGAGGTTTTCTCATTCAGCATCTTGTTTTTGAGGTTCATCTTCATGATGTAGCATGTATCAGTACCTCATTCCTTTTTCATTTCTTAGAGGAGTCTTTTTTTTTTTAAGCTTTATGGTACACATGTGTTTGCCAGAGAAGGACAGAGAGAGAGGAAGAGGGGAGAACACTCCAGTGGGGCATGGTCACACCGCAATCCCTTCTCCCCCACTTCTTTTGGGATTTGGGCACATACACACATGCACCTGGTGTGTTTCTCAGGCCCCCAGGTCTGGGACTCGAATAGCACTATTGGCCATTTGAGATCTGGCTGCCTTAACCACCAGGCCATGGAGCCTGCCCAGCATTTTTTCTTTTATCTTATTTATTTATTTTCTTCATGAGAAACAGAAACAGACAGACAGACAAACACATATACCCCTAATGGGGACCTTTTCACCACGATCCACCCATCGCCTCAACTAGACAGTACCACGGCACATGTACCCAGCATGTACAGGACGAACTTGGGATCTAAACCCAGTACCTTTCCATATAGCTTCAGAACTGCAGAGCATTGCGTTAACCACTTCATCATCATAGCTAGCCTTCGTTTTTTGAAGAAATTGAGGTAAAATTCATATAACATCAGACTGGCCATTAACTACTCAAAAAGTTGCTTTTTAGGGACCAGCAGGTGGCATAGTGGTGAAGGCACTGAACTCCCACACGACTGACCATGGGTCAAGTCTTAGACCCAATGGCTTGAAAATCACACCAGGTGTGTGCGCATATGTGCCCAAAATCCCGAGGGGAGAGGAGAGGAGAAGGGGTTGTGGCATGCCCATCCTCCCTGGGGGTTGATTTTTCCCTTTTTTCTCTCTGTCACTGGTGAGAGTACATGCCCTATGGGAAAAACCTGAAAATAATTTTAAAGAAATTTTTTTTAATTTATAGCAGTAATACAAAGACTATTTCATTTAAAAGAAATAGGTTGATGGGACCAGCAGTTGGTGTAATGGCTATGTCATTGGACTCCCATGTAGTCAACTGCAGTTCGACTCTTGGACCTGGTGGCTTAAACTCATGCCGGGTGCATGTGTGTGTGTGCCCAAGATCCTGAGAGGAGAATGGAGGAGAAGGGATTGCGATGTGGCCATCCCCCCTACGGGGTGATTTCTCGCTTTCTGTTTCTCTGTCTCTCTTTCTGTCTTTTTGTTGAGCGCACATGCCCTGTAGCAAAAACCTCTCCCCCCCAAAAAGAAAATAGGTTGATTTGCAGGCCAGTAGGTAGAATAGTGGTTTAGGTACTAGATTCTCATGTGGTTGACTGTAGTTCGAGTCCTAGACCTATTGGCTTGAAACTCATACCCGGCATGTGTATGTGTGTGTGTGCGCCAAAAATCCTGTAAGGAGAATGGAAAAGAATTGCAGCCTGGCCACGTCCCCTGGGGGGTGATTTCTTGCTTTCTCTCTCTCTCTTTCCAGCAAGTGCACGCACCCTCCAGCAAAAATCTCTAAAAATAAATAAATAAATAAATAAAAAACAAAAAAATTAAAAAGCCTAGTTTAAACTAAAATATCAGTTGAACAGTGGAATAATTGGTAATAAAATCCATGTCAGCCTGGTGATACAATGTGAGAAGAGTATATGAGTGTGAGACTGAGCAAACAAGTGCAAAAATTCGTGATGGTATGGTATAGTATGACAATGGAGTATTCAGGAAAGTGCAGGAAATTAAGTATTTCTGGAATGTAAAATATAAGGAAAGGAGTATTTGGAGAGGTTAGGTCAAAGAAGGTCTTAAATAGCCATGTTGAGACTTTTTTGTTTTGTTTTGTTTTGTTTTTAATTTGCCAGGAAGAGGGAGAAAGCACTCCCTAATGGGGTGTGATCATACCACAATCCCTTCTCATCCGTTTCTCCACTCTTGGCATGTTGGGTGTGCATGCACAGGTGCCTGGCATGTTATTCAACCACAGGGGTCAAATTCAAACTGCAGTCAGCTATGTGGGATCCAGCTCCCCAAAGAGGCCAGTTTGAGAAGTACTTTTTTTTTTTTTTTTTTTAGATTTTTGCCATAGGGCACCTGTGCTCTCTGGAGGGGGCGGGGAGAGTGAGACATTACTCCCCTAGCTATATGGCTATGCCTCAATCTTTTCTTCTTTTGGGATTTTGGGCACGCACGTGCCTGGCATAGTCAAAGCATTCATCATAAGTGAGCCATCTTTAGTACTGGCATTGTGAATGAGGGTGCATTGTACAGCTGGTGGGTGGTGGTGAAGGCAGCTGAGTCCCACATGGCTGACTGTGCAGTTCAAGTCCCAGACCCAGTGCCTTGAGAAACATGCCCAGTGCATGTATGTGTACTCAAAATCTTGAGAGAGAATAAAGAAGGGTGTGTGCCATGTCCATCCTTCTTGGGGCGGGCTTTCTCACTTTCCCTCTCACTCTCTCTCTTCCTGTTTCTCTGTCTCTGTTGCCATGCATGCTATGGCAAAATTTGAAAAATCAAAAAAGAAGTAAATAGCTATCCTGTCCAATTTACTATTTAGGCAGAGAGCAGTGCATACTTCCATGGGCTGCGTGAAATGAAAATATTCATGTACATTTGTTTTGCTGTTTTAGGAACCTGTCAGTACTCCCCGAGTCAACCTTGTTCAGGTTAGACCAGGAAGAGAAAAATTGTGACATAGATACCCCATTAGGAAATCTTTCTAAATTGATGGAAAACACGTCCACCAGGTTTGTAACAATGAATTGAGCTGAATGTCACCCCACTTTTCTAAGTCCTACTACTAAAATTTACATTTTTGCTCTTCAGCAAAAAACTTCGAGATTTAATCATTGACCTTCGTGAACCTCAGTTTATATCCTACCTCAGTTCCGTTCTTCCATATAATGCGAAGGATACAGTTGCTTGCATTCTGAAAGGTACACTATTCTCAACATGTCTGGCATTGTATGTCATTTAAACTGCATTATAGTTTTATATCTTTTTTCTTTAGGTTTTTGCCATAGGGTGCATAAGCTTGCCAGAGTTAGAGACACAGAGGAGGGAAGTGAGAAATCATCTCTTGTTGGCAATGGCTATCCCACAATCCTTCTCCATTTTCCTCTTGGGATTTTGGGTGTGCATACATATGCACCTGCTTTTCAAGCCACCAACTATAGAACTCCTGCTGGCCCATATCTAATATCTTAGCTTACAATTATGATGTTTAGAGAGAGTTTCTTTGGAAGTAGTTTATATATATCCTTTAAAGTCACTATGTTTTGTTTTGTTTTTACTTTGAGTCAATGTATTGAAGAACACACTTTGATAGAGAAGTGTATTGAAGAACAGATTTATCCAAGCTTGGATAAATAGTTAATTTGTCCTTCAAAAGTCAATACTCTTTTTTCCTGTTATTTTTTAACTTAAATGCAGGTTTGAATAAGCCTCAGAGGCAAGCAATGAAAAAGGTACTTCTCTCAAAAGACTATACACTCATCGTGGGTATGCCTGGGACAGGAAAAACAACTACAATATGTACACTGGTAAGATTATTAGTCTTTTGCTTCGAAACTAAATGTTCACTTCAGCTTCCCAGTTCAGAAGATGTGATATTTAATATTAAAAGGGCTGAATTTAATTTCAAAATGTCTGTTTCAAATTAACTTTTTAGAACTACATGAGAAATAGTAAAGCTGAACCACATATAGTCTTGTATCACTTAACAACAGGGATTATGTATATATATATTTGGTAAAATTTTGCCAGAGTGCACATGTTGCCCAGAGAGATAGAGAAAAAGAGAGAGAGAGAGAGAGAGAGAGAGAGAGAAAAGGGAGGAAGGAAGAAAGGAAAGAAGGACTGACCCTCCATGAGGGATGATCATGCTGCAATCCCTTTTCTTCCATCTCTCCCTCTTCTTGGAATTTTGGGTATAAAGGCACGCGTCCCTGGTGTTTCTCAATCCACCGGGTCCAGGACTTGATCTGTGTGGGATCCAGGTGCACCAACCACAACCCCACAGGCTGACTGAACATGGATATTTTCTGAAGCATGGGTCATCAGGCAATTTCATCCATGTGTGAGCATCATAATGTGTACTTACACAGACCTAGATGATACAGCCTACTTCACGCCTTGGCTATAGTTTTTTTTTTTTTCCCTTTTTATGGAGAAGTTTTTGCTATAGGGGGCGTTCAAAGACGGAAAGAGACAGAGAGACAGAATATGAGAAATCACCACCCAGGGGGGATGGCCATGCCGTAATCCCTTCTCCTCCATTCTCCTCTTGGGATCTTAGGCATGCACGCACATGCGCCCGGCGTGAGATCAAGCCACCGGGTCAAGGACTCGAACCGCAGTTGACTACATGGGAGTCCAGCGACATAGCCATTACGCTAACTGCTGGTCCCTATAGTTTTTTTGTTTTGTTATAGGGAGTTTGTGTTTCCTGGAGTCAGAGAAAGAGAGAGAGAGAGACAGAGAGACAGAGAGAGAAGAGAGGGAAAGTGAGAAATCAACTTCCCCAGGGGGAATGGCCATGCTACAATCTCTTCCATTCTCCTCTTGAGATTTTGGGCATGCCTGCGCATGTGTGGGTATTTTTCAAGCTGCCGGGTCCAGGACTTGAACCTTGTGGGATCCAGTTGGCCATGTGGAATCCGGCAGCCTTAACCTCCACACCACTTCCTGACCCCATTGTATAATTTTCTGGGACCACCATTGTATATGTAGTTGATAGTTGACAAACACTGTTTTGTGGAGCATGGATATATCATGTTGTAAATTTCTTGCATTTACAATTTTTTTAAGATCTCTTTCCATTAGTGATATGTGGTAATAAGCATCACTGTTTTCTTTTCCCTTTAAAAATGATAAATTATACAGAGGTAGTTGAAATGGATTTTTCTTAGTTTTTTTTATGTCAATAATGTTTTTTTATAATTTTAAATTTTATTTGTTATTATTATTTTTAATTTGACCAGAGAGAAACACAGAGAGAGAAAGGGAAAATGAGAAAGTAAGATGCAGGGTCCAGGACTTGACCCGCTATTGGCCATGTGGGAGTCTAGCACCTTAACCACTGTGCCAACTGCCAGCCCCTCTTTTATTTTCAATTGCCAGAGGGGATATGTGCTTGCCAGAGAGAGAGGGAGACGAAAAAGCACTCCCTAATGGACTGTTGTCACAATTATTCTCCATTTCTCCATTCTGTTGGTATTTGGGGTGTGCACGCACATGTACCTGGTGTGTTTTTCAAGCCATCACGGTTGGGATTCAAACCACAGTGGGCCATGAAGGATCTGACTCCTTCAACTGCTAGGCCATGGGGGCTGGCCCTGTCATTAATGTCTAAGCAGTCTTAGAATAATCATACTGATGGCAGCAAATATTTATTAAGATTGGTACTGGGGACCAACTGATGGCATCATGGTTAAATTGCTGGATTCCCACATGGTCGACCACAGTTCAAGTCCTGGACCTGTTGGCTTAAAACTCATGCTGGGTGCATGTTCTTGTGCCCAAAATCCCGAGAGGAGACTGGAGGAAAAGGAATTACAGTGTGGCCACCCCCGTGGAGGGGTGATTTCTAGCTTTCCATCTCTCTGTCTCTGTCTGTCTCTTCAGCGAGCACATGCACCCTATTGCAAAAATCTCTCTTAGGGGGTGGCATGGTGGTTAAGGTACTCCCACATGGCTGACCATGGTTCAGGTCCCGGGCCTGGTGGCTTGTTTCTCACCTTTCCTCTTTCTCTCTGTCTCTTTCTCTGGTCAAATTAAAATAAATGGATAAATAAACAAAATTAAATAATTCTCTTTTTTTTTTTTTTTGAGAGGTTTTTGCCATAGGATGCATGCGCTCACCAGAATGACAGAGACAGAGGGACAGAAAGCGAGAAATCACCCCCCCCCCAGGGGGGATGGCCACGCCATGATCCCTTCTCCTCTGTTCTCCTCTCGGGATCTTGGGCACACACGCACATGCGCCTGGCATGGGCTTAAGTTACCAGGTCTCAGACTCAAACCGCAGTCGACTACACGGGAATCCAGCGACATAGCCATTATGCCAACTGCTGGTCCCAAAATTAAATAATTCTTAAAAAAAAAACAACTCTCCGAGGGGCCGGCAAGTGGCGTGGTGGTTAAAGGTGCTGGACTCCCACATGGCCGACCACGGTTCAAGTCTCGGACCTGGAGGCTTGCTTTCTCACTACCTCTCTCTCTCTGTCTCTCTCTGATCAAACTGAAAAATAATGATATAATAACAAATAAAGTTAAATAAAATAATTCTTTAAAAAAAAAAAAACTCTCTGAAATAAAAAAGATTGATACTGTACTCCAGATACTACTAGTTTACATATATTCAACTTTATTATCACTTATAATGCATTAACATATCATTAATAACATATAATAATGATAATGCCATATAATTTTTATTAGGTATTGTGACTTTCTGATTTTTTAAAAAAAAATTTCTTGACTCAGCTGTTGGTGGGTATGCTTCTTATTAAGTTTTTTTTAAAAGAATAATTTTATTTATTCATTCATTTATTTTAATTTGACCAGAGAGAGGCAGAGAAAGAGAGAGAGAGGCGAGAAAGCAAGCCACCAGATTCAGGACTTAAAACTGTGGTCAGCCATGATGGGGTGTTCAGTACCTTAACCACCATGCCACCTGCTGGTCCCCTCTTATTAAGTTTTCTTAGTTCTCTTTAGAAAAATTTAAGCACTGGGACCAGCAGATGGCATAGCGGTTACATTGCTGGGCTCCCAGGTAGTCAACCACTGTTCAAATCCTGAACTCAGTGGTTTGAAATTCACGCCATTGCATGTGCATGCATGCCCAAGATCCTGGGAGGAGAATGGAAGAAAAGGGATTGTGGCATGACCATCCTGCCTGGGGGATGATTTTTTCACTTTCCTTCTCATTGTCACCAACTCAGTCTCTCCAGCAAGCACACATGCCCTAAGGCTAAAACCTCTTATAAAAAAGAAAGAAAGAGAGAGAAAAATTTAAGCATGTTAAAAATTATTTCGGGGGCCTGCAGGTGGCATGGTGGTTAGGGGTGCTGGACTCCCACATGGCCAACCACATTTGTAGTCCCAGACCTGGTGACTTGCTTTCTCATTTTCCCCTCTCTCACTCTGTCCCTCTCTGGTCAAATTAAATTAAAAAAAAAAAAAAAAAGAAGCTAAATAAAGCAATTAAAAAAATTATTTGGAATGAGGCTCAGGCAGATGGCGTGGTGGTTGAGGGTGCTGAACTCCTATGTGGATGACTATGGTTTGAATCCGGACCTGGTGGCTTACACACGCATGCTCTTTCTTTTTCTCTCTCTCGTCAAATTAAAAAATAAATCATGGCTGGCAGGTGGCATGGTGGTTAAGGGTGCTGGACTCCCACATGGCTGACTGTGGTTGAAGTTCCAGACCTGGCTACTTGCTTTCTTACTTTCTATTTATCTCTCTCTCTCTCACTCTGTTCCTCTCTGGTCAAATTAAAATAAATAAATAAATAAAGTTAAATAATTCTTTTTTTTTTTTTTGGAGAGGTTTTTGCTATAGGGCGCGTGCGCTCGCCAGACAGACAGAAAGAGACATAGAGACAGAAAGCGAGAAATCACCCCCCGGGGGGATGGTCACGCCGCAATCCCTTCTCCATTCTCCTCTCGGGATCTTGGGCACGCATGCACACGCGCCTGGCGTGAGTTTTAAGCCACCGGGTCTGGGACGCGAACCGCGGTCGACTACATGGGAGTCCAGCGACATAGCCATTACGTTAACTGCTGGTTCCCAATAAAATAATTCTTAAAAAATAAATGAAGTTGGGGACCAGCAGATGGCATGGTGGTTAAGGCTCTGGCCGACCATGGTTCGAGTCCCAGACCTGGTGGCTTGCTTTCTCACTTTCTCTCTCTTTCTGGTCAAATTAAAACAAATGAATTAATAAATAAAATAATTCGTTTTTAAAAAATGAAGTTAAATAGAATAAATAATGCTTTAAAAATGATTTGGAATGGAAAGTAATGCTATTTTTCTTCCTGTTGTTCATTCTTAGGTGCGAATCCTTTATGCCTGCGGTTTTAGCGTTTTGTTGACCAGCTATACACACTCTGCTGTTGACAATATTCTTTTGAAATTAGCCAAGTTTAAAATAGGCTTTTTGCGTCTGGGTCAGACTCAGAAAGTTCATCCAGGTATCCAGGAATTTACAGAGGAGAAAATATGCAGATCAAAGTCCATTAAATCTTTAGCTCTTCTAGAAGAACTCTACAATAGTCAAGTAAGTACAGTATTGTGTAATAATATTGCCAGCGATTTCTGTAGCCAGAATGAGTGGGGAAATGATGCTCTGCTC